ATATATATATATAAAGTTTAAAAAACACATATCAAAGGAAGCATTTAGTGCTACAATAAACTAAGTAATGATACAAAACGTAGCCAAATTTACATTAACAGGATTTTAAAACACAGGTGCATGTTTTGTTTATTCAGTATGTGCACAGTATACAAAATACACTCAGATTATGTAACAATTTCTAGCTGACAGTTTGTCACTTTTCTCAACATCTCATTGCTCATTTATAAAGTATGCATTTGTCAGTTTTTAAAATGGTCTCTGTCATTAACCATTAACACATGCATATTTTTTATTAGGGTGTCCATGTCCAATTAAATATATAAACTGTTTTGGATGTGTTTGTTAGCAAATAGGACCTAATCTGTTGCATGCAACATGCTTGATAAAGACGCACTAAGCAAAACCTTTATTTTGACAGCACACTAACAGAACTTCCGGTGTTGTTTCCAGTGTTTCTGCGCCTTTTGACTCAACGAGCAAGCACAGGCATGCTGCTTCAGGGAACTGACGGCAATGATAAACCTTCAGGTAGGTGATGTTTGTCAAAGGAGCAGCTTTATTTGATTTTTATTTTTTTGTAATTTTACCACCCAAAATAAATAAATAAATAAATAAATAAATAAATAAATAAATAAATAAATAAATAAATCTATGACTTTAATGAGTATGCACACAGCATGTATGTTAAGCACTGTGAAAACTAATTAGGAGGCAAAACAGATGAGCCTTGTAAAATGTTAATTATATTGAATCATGCTAAAACTTATGTAATGCGTTGCATGTGGGCTATTAAATTATCTCCATCTTCCATAAAGCGATTGTTAATATTTTGATTTTTAGCTAATAAAATATATTGCATTTTTGCAGGTTCACTGTTTCAAAGTTTTAGTGTATTTCATGACAGCTACGTAAAAATGTGAATATTCTCTTTGCAGTCAGTCCTTCTGAACCCAACACAATTACGATGACAGCCATGACATTACTGATTCATTGCATCAGAGTTGCAGCACAGCCTATTTCTTATTTAATTAATGACTGTTTTCCTGTGGGAGCTGAATGGAATTCCTTTTTTTTTTTTTTTTTTGAAGAAAATCTGAGAAAGTTGCCAGCATAAATAGGAGAAAAGGCTAATTTTAGCTCCGAATCACAAAGTGTAAATAAGACATTTGCAATTCAAGTTGGGTAACAAGGTCGGAACGATGCCTAATTCGGGCAAGACCAGATGAGCATTTTTCTTCTTTTCCAAATAGAAAATAACATTGTTTTGCAATGAATGTAAGGACGAGAATCAACTTTTTTTTTGTTAATTTATTTATCCATCTCATTAAAACCACTTGTATACACAAAATGTATAATATTGTTTTTAAAATGTAACCCAAAAGTACAGTAAGTCAGGATGAATTGCTCGATGGCTGCAGATCTGAAAGATCGTTTGATTTGTATAGTAGCTGACCTTTGGGAGCAGACCGACCCATCAGTGTGAAAAAACAAGGTTATTTGTCAGCTTTTTGTGAACTACTGTATTTATTTTTGCTGCGGCTGTGTTATCAGACACCTGAATATAATCTCTGCTTCACTGATTGTCATGCAAAGTTAAACTCCAGTAAGAATGCAATACTTTGAATGACAGGGATAAAAAGGCCCCACCCCCTCCACTCACACACACACACACACAAAAATGTACAGAAAGACTGCAATGGAATTAAATTTTTAATTTTCTGCCTTTATCTCAAGCAAGTTGTCACTGGTGAAATGTAACCGTGTCACTTCAGATGATCTGATTTTTTTATCACTCGCAGCTGAAAGATGAAGGCGGATGATCGTGTTTTTGCCCAACATCTGTGTCTGTTACTGAATTATCTAATGAACAACTGGGCAGGTTTTAACACAGCTTTCAGGAAATAAGGATGCACTTCCACGGATTGTTTTTATTGTTTTGGTTTGTCCCTGCTCCAACCTTTGTTCCCCAGTGTTGTCAGTCTGTTCTTCCTTTAGTGTCTGTTCCTTCAGCGCCTGCCCCACCCTACACTGCAAAAAATGTCCATCTTACCAAGTTTTAAAATCTTATATCCAGCCAAAAAGTATTTTTGATCTTGTTTTGAGACTGATTTACTTAACAAGAACTGATTGTGGAAGAATAATAATCTTGTTTTCAGAATGTGTAAGATTATTTGTCTTGTTAGTCTGCAAATTTGACTCAAATTGAATCAAAAATGTCTGCCAATATAGTAAGAAATTTTTACTTGGTAAGACTCTTGAAATACTTGATTTGACTCTTTTTCTTCTTATTTCAAGAATCTTAYCAAGTAAAATTTTCTTACTCCACTGGCAGAAATTTTTTACTTAATTTGAGTCAAATTTTCAGACTAACAAGACAAATAATCTTACACATTCTGAAAAAAAGATTATTATTCTTACACAATCAGTTCTTATTTAGTAAATAAGTCTCAAAACAAGATCAAAAAGACTTTTTGCCTGATATAAGATTTTAAAACTTGGTGAGATGGACAGTTTTTGCAGTGATAGTCTCTCTCTCTCCCCCAATTGCCATCATGTCAGATGTTTCCATTCCTTTTATTAGCCCCTGTCCTTATTTACTAAGTTCTACTTCCTCCTCAGTTGAGCATTGTGCTTCATGCCATATCCGGTTTTTCTCTGTGTTTCCTTGCCTTTTTTTTTTTCATTTTTTGTAAAATCGCTGCCATGCCAGCCTTTTTGTTCTGTTTCTTTAAACAAAACGTTTAGTTTTAATCGAAGCTCCTTGTGTCAGTGACATCAAATGACATTTGAAAACCTAAACGTGCCAATAATTCATTCAGTTTTAAAGATAGTGACCTAAACCTTGGTTTGGCTGTTGCTGAGAGGCAATCTCAGTCACCCACTCTGAAAGGTGTTTGCTTAAAAGCATTAACTGTTAGAATCAAACCAGTTTGTCTGGGAGCCCAAAAACTCATGAGCATCTGAACAGATTTTAATGAAACTCTCAGAAYGTAATCATTGGAAGCGCATCTGATAAAATCTTGAAGTCAGTTCATTTTCATTTGGCCTCTCAGTTAATCAACATTATCCAACAACTCAGTTAGTTTTACAGATACTGAGCTAAAACTTGATGTGATAGTCATGGAAAATCATTCACAACACATTCTCTGAGTGCTACTTGTGTGTTTGTCAGCTGTTATGTGATTTTGTTCTTTTAAAAAAGCTAGATTTGTTAMTTTACTTACTAAAAAAGGAAGAAAGAAAGAAAAGAAAATCAGAAAGGGTCTGTTAGTTTCTCCATAATATTCCATGTTTATTTGAAGTCTTTTCTTAAAGGATATTATGACATGAAAATCCAGCTCCTGCATCACAAATCACCCTGTAATCAATGTTCCATTGCCATTTAAGTTACAGCTGGTCCATTAGGAGTTGGCCACGTTGTACAGAAAGGTGGTTCTGTAGATGTAACGGCACAATGAGTTACAACACGAGCTGCAGACCTTTAACAACCCTAATTTATAGTCAAAGGGACAGAATAGGAGATGGGTTATAATGAAAGGTGTATGCTGTTTTCAAGTCTGAAACAACTGGGATAAATATCCACGAAGAATCTCTTCACCTGAGATCTTCTGTCACAGCAGTGCAGGAGAAACAAATGCTTCAGYTTTTATTTTCATATCTCCTTTCAATGTTTTATTTGAGATTGTGTGTGGTTTTTCAGTAGGAGCGCCAGTTTACTGACCATAGATTTTTAAAACCCCGGTRGTGGCACACTCCTGAAAATCTATACTATGACAAAATTAAAGGATGCTTTTAGTCCAGATGACACTTCACATTGTTACAAGTCTGTTTTTGCACATGCAGCTTATAAAGTGAGCTAAGGACTTTAATGATTATAAAAAAAATACAAAAAAAAAGACTTTCTTAGTTGCCAGAAATGTGCACTTCAACTTATTTTTAGATCACTAATTTATCTAAATAAACTATTTATTAATAAGGACTTCACTGGTAGCCTCTAACAGCTACATTACTGTAATAACTAAAAAACATACAAGTGCTATAAATCAAATTGTATAGCATTATATTTTCCTAAATGTTATTTTTTTCTGCAGATATTTCTGTTGTTTAACTGTTTCCAACACTGTGGATTTATGAGGCTTTGGGAGTCCAACGTTAAGCAGAGAAACCCATTAGATTTAACCGCAGGAGCAGGTATTATCTTGGTCCCTGAGTTTAGGAA